TGTGTGTGTGATGTGTGCATACTCGGGTAACCAGTGTTTCGTACGGGCTGTCAAATATTTCCGTGTGCTTTTATTTCGTGCATGCGGGCAGCGTTTCTCATCAAAAGATATTGCACAAAAACGATTCTTATTGCCCCCCCCCCCCCCCCCAGTATTCCAAGGTGGCCTGTCTAGGGCAATTCGTCAAGTGAAGCTTCACTTGCAAGTTTATCCATGAATAGGCAGAGTCGAAGGCTATGAGTGCTTTCAAGCCGATTGTTTAAGCTGTGTTATTCAAAACAGTTCAAGTTACAGTTGAGCAGTATGAAACGGAATGTTGAAGTGTTACACCTCCCGGACACTATGCGGAAAGGTTCGGCGCTGCGTCTAACGACTTGCTGACGGTTTAAGTCAGCTGTGGTGTGCCTGATGTTTCACCACGACGCGTTCTTGGGAGCCCACTGCCGTTTGCGGGGCCGGCAGGCAGCAGCGCGCGCAGGAGCTACAACGGGAGCTGGGGGAGGTGGAGGTGCGGCAGCAGGAGCTTGAGCAGCGCGGCGCCTCCGTCGAGAAGGCCATCAGGGGTGAACGCCCGGGTAATGGAGCACAGCAGCGTGGCGCTATGCCTGTACCAGCACCGTCTCGGCGACGGTCTGAATGCCTTGAGGACCGGTACAGAACCGATGAAGTCTCACTGATACTGACGCTAATATCTGGCCATCGATACGTTCATCACAGGCCAGGATTGTCTGATATTCTGGTATCGGCAGAGCCCCGAGCTTTCTAGCACGGGCACCAATCCACTATCCCCGTTGCCTATTAATACCGATCGTCTGTATTATTGCACCCAAATTTTGCAGCCAGTGCAAACGCTTCGGGTCGGAGCTGAGTGTCTTGCTGAGATTCAGGCGCACTCGGTGCTTATTTGATGTTGAGGCCTGTACTGATGTGCCGCTGATCACTTATGTTCTCGTCGAAACGCTTAATAGACTGCGCTATTTCGACTTCCGAGCAATGTGAAGTGTGGCTGCGTACCCTACCCGTACCCCCTCCAGCCCGGCCCCGACCCCCGTTGACTGGCGGGGACTTCGCCTCAGGCGGTGACGGCGGCGGGGGCGAGGACACCGACCCCAGCGACGACGCCGTCCTGATGCGCCAGTGGTTCGGCCTGGTGCACGAGCGCAGTATGCTGGTGCGGCGCGACCAGCTGCTGCAGTTGCAGCTGCGCGAGCTCCAGCTGGAGGACAAGCACGACCGGCTGCAGATGGAACTACGCGAGCGCATGGCCGCGCCCGGTACGTCCCCCCTCGTTCCCCGTCCCTCGCCCCGCCCTCCCTCCTTTCCCCGCTCCCCATGTGTCTCCCCCCTCCCCCATGCCGTTCTGGGCTCAGGGGCTCGCCGTTCGTGTGGTCGTCATTGGGCAGATCAGGGCGGCTGGATACCACAGAGGTCCCGAAAGGGATAGATGTGCTACCAAGCCTCCCGCTTGTACTGACTGTTCCCGGGGCCACTCCTCCTGACCCGTACACCAGGTCAAGAGGAGTTGCCCCAGGAACAGTCAGTTCTAGCAGGCACGTTTTTCGGAGACTCAGGGTGGCACTGGCGGAACGTCGCGCCTGTGGTGCATGTTAAGACGGGGCCAGTCCCGCTAGCGTGCGCCGATGACGAGTATGTCCAATTAGGCAAGTGCCTGTACCCGCGAACATATTTATTCCAGACGGCAGCTCCTTGTCTACACGGGTGATAAGAAGCGCTGTTAACGGCTACGTTGTGTCCACGTCCCTCTTGAGGAGCACATTAACGTAATGAATTCGATCGTGTTCGAACGCACCCCGCCGGCGAGCCCTGTCGGTTGGCCGCGCGCCGCTCGACTGACCGCTCGCCCGCGTGCCGCCGCCTGCCCCGTGCCTGCCGGTCGTGACGCCACCCGCCACACTCGACCGCAGAGGGCCCTGAAGTCGGACGTTTACGTGGAGCGGGAGCGCGAGCTGGTCAGCACGCTGCTGGAGATATCCGAGCAGAGACGCGCGCTCGACAGGCCATGGACGGGGCCGAGCAGGAACAGGTTAGGACGGCCGGCTGCGGGAACCGGGCTCCGCATCAGGGGCGGCGGCGACGTGTCGGGCGCTGACGGGCGGGGCCGGCCCGCCTACCCGGCCTCACCGCAGAACGGATTGGCGTTCTCATTATGTAGACCTATGGATTTCGGTCTGTGCTCGGCACTGTGGCTGGGCCGTTATTCGCTCATCAATGGCTAAATGGTCCTAGCCCATTTATTTTACGTTAATTGTTTGTTGTCCTTGATAGACAATAATGGCGGCCATTCATGACTGACAAGTTTGTGATGTCCTGGCGGCAGGCTCAATTTGTCTCCTTTTGGACCCCACCTAAGCATACCGTATCACCTGATGCACAGTTAATGTATGCCGCCGTATCCAGAATGAATGGGCTGACCGTACTTGTCCGGTGACACGGCGCTCCCTCCCCCCCGTTCTCGTCTGCAATTCGAAGTCTTGTCACTTTTGACGATGCGCGCATTTGTTCATTTCTGCTTCACTGACAGCGTGACGTTCGTATTGGCGGGCCAGTCACGTGCCAGCTGCGTTGACAGACGAGAGACCTTAACGGCGCGCCGGCTGTGTTGACAGACCGGGCTGCTGATTATGTTACGGCCGAGCCGCCCGCTTATTGTGTGGACCGTGTGCCGGTTGTCTTCACATGCTGCGAGTGTCGGTTGTACGCCTGTCGTCGGTCGATAGGCCGACTATGCTGACCGCGTGATGACGGTGTTGCAGACTGAGAATGGAGTGCGAGTCTGCTGAGAACCGCCAGTAGGTGCTCGGTCGGCCCCAACCCAACTGCGGTCCGGACGAGACGGCCGTCTAGCGCTCCGTCCAGCGTCTGTCCGCAGCGGCCGTCTTCGTCTCCGCGAGCACCACCTGACCCCGTGCGGTCGGAGCGGTCTCCTAGGGCCAACCAGCTGGCTCCAGTTCTGGGGGACAGGGCGCCATACCGACCACGCCCGACTGGGGCACGGCGAGCCGACCATGCCCTTGTGGTGGGGCCTGAGGGTGTGGGCCTCGGCGGCGCCAACGGCCACCGTCGCCGCAGACCGATGCACATCGCGCCGGGCCACTGCGCGGTCGCCTTCTGAGCCACCTATTCCCATCCGCTCCGTGCTTGCGTCGCGCCGTGTGAGGTCGCGGCTGCTCCCGCGGGGGTCGAGCTGGCGGCGGCGTCGGCGCTTGTCCACGGTGTTGTGGCATATGTGATTTTCGTGCTTTCTCGGCCGGATGGGCGCTTTGCTGGAGATGCGTTTGGAGTTCGCACTGGAGATGATCTGCATGCTGTAACAAAACATTTCCGTTGATTGCGTAGGCATCGTAAGACGAACGCTGTGTGATATGGAGTGGAGAAATATGTGGGATATTGCGGATAAAAGATGGAGTGGTTGTTGCCAACAGCCATACACCATTCGCGTCCAGATAAGGCCGTCGTATTTTCAACAAATCGTCCATGAGTGACCCTCCCATATTTAACTAACATCTGTGATCGGTTATTTCGCTTTCGTTATTTCGCTTGTCATGCCGTTGCTTGTGGTCGCATGCTCGTAATGAGGTCTTCGCATGTTCGTAGATAGAAAATATGGTCAAAGGACAAGGTGAACGCTGTATTTATGTACATTGTGTCATTGTGGAACGAACCGGGCTGGGTCGTGTTCGCACGGCTCTTGAATGCGCCATGACTGCCGCGCCCTGCGGCATCCACACTGCTCCTTCACTTTCTAATCATCAATTTGTTGATAATATAAAGACGTAACGTGAGCTGCAGTGTTACTGAGTCGATCGTGTTACAAGTATTTGTCACATGATGACGTCAACTACATGGGCCATGATCTCGCTGAACTGCAAATGGCGCACGGCTGATAGCATTGTCCAGAGGTTAGGTGCATTTGGTGGACTATGAGCATCATCCAGAGGTTACGCACATTTTGCGGACTATTACCATCGTTCAGAGGTTACGTACATTTCGTGAGCTATTATATATAAACACTGGAAACGCTGCTGACCGCCCGCCTCACTCAGTCCCATAAGTGACCGCCAAAATATCCTAATGAAAAAAGTTGTGTGCTCCCAAGCGTACATTTCCTGTTGGCCTAAACGAGGCGCTGGGTCGTCAGCAGCCGTGCGCGTGGTCCGCGGAGCCACGGAGTCCGCCGCGTCCGCGCGCTGTCCAGCCACACGCCGGGAGAATAAATAAAGCCACTGTATTTGAGGCACGCCGAGGCAGGAACAACGGGACAGACGACAAACCACGACCGGCTGTGCGTCCCACACACCGGGCCAGCGAGCACGGGACACTGGAACAGACTTCGACCACGCCTGCACGCACCAGGTTTGAAGCACGCGTACTCATGTCTGCTCCTTACAAACAGCTCGCTAGCGGCATCATGTCACAACGGCCACTGAGTAGCAACTTTGCTTTCGGGCTCAGCGAATTTTGTAACTAAAAACAAACGCCTTGTCGTCAGACCCGCTAAAACTCTTCAGACAAGTTGGCATACTTGTTAGCACGCGCGAGATGCGTGCAAACACGCGACCCTATCTCTCGCCACAACCATTCGCGATAAGTGTTATTTGAACATAACTCCGACAAACATCAGGATGCGTTCACGTCGCGCTGTCAATGGCAGCTGATTGCATTAAACATGTTACCATTGTCCGCTTTGCCGCCGTGATCGGCTACATACCCGCTCACCACATTCGCAGGCAACTTAAGTACCGAGCGAAAGACCTCGCCGTGTGGACTGTACGGAATGATCCGACATTACGCTGAGACATCGGGCTCACATTGCTTCCAGACCTCCGTACGGAACAGCCCGGCAATGCACCGCGTCTCCAGTTCAGACAGCCCCCATCCCATTCCAATTGGCGCCGGTCCTTTGCGCACCCAACTCCCAACCCCGGCTCAAAGACTGGACCCGGGACCGGACCCGAGACCGGATCCGGTTCCGGCTCCGGTCCTGGGCACGGATCCGGCTCCCGATCCGGCCCTGGGTCTAGCCGGAGCCGCCGCCGAGCCGCGCCGAGGGGGGCCGCCCGGCGGTCGGGCGTCCGCCGCCAGCTGACGGGCTCCCAGACCGGCGTCCAGCGGCGCGGCACGCGATCCCGTCGGCTGCGAGCACCGCAGTCGGCCGCGCTCACGCGCCGCCAGCCGCGGCACCACACGGCCGACGCCGGCGGACAATTTACAACATACGAACGGGCTTCGCCGCTGATCCGTACCAACACGGTGAAGCACTAACAAGCGGGCGAACGGAAACACGGCGGCGCCGAACTGCAGCAACCGGCGGGGCGCTATGCACGATCTGATTAATAAATGATCACCGATGAGTCACAGCGTTCAGACAAACCGGCCGCCGCTGGAAGTTAGCAACGGAATTAAGCTCGCCGATACCTGGCAGCAGCGCAGCCATTGCACGTAAAATCGCTTGGCCGATTACGCACGGACCGGACTCGCCACGCCAACTGCCGAGACAATAGCCGTTGCAAGCAAAGAAGCAAGCAGCATAAAACTGATAGATGCCCGGAGGGCAAACATGGCGCCCGCCACTCCTGTGGTGATGTGTCGGACTCACAGACAGACAGACAGACAGACAGATGGTCGGAGCTCCGCCGAGGGCGGCAACACTAAGGTGCCCCACTATTGCCACGCGACCCATAGAATATACATGTAAGCCAGCAGCGGCGCCACCGACGACTGGCGTTAACAAAGCTACCTACCGACAAACCGTGAACAGTCCCAACAGTCGCACTCCGTCAACGATTGACTTCCGAAAGCGCCGGCCAGCGGGGCGATTGCCATCATGCTAGTCTAGTTTAGATCACAGACAGCTCGTGTTGGGCTGCGTCAGCGGCCACTGACCACTGACCGCGGCGTCGCTCCTAGAGCGTACGGGCTGTCTTCAGTCTTCCATATCACGGACCAGGCCACAGCCCCGCCCAGCCACCGGCTCCACACACTCACGCGCGAGCGCGCACACACACACCACGCACGCAGGCGCCATGGCACTTTCAAACATGTATGAGAACGAACAGCTTCGCCGAGCACTGACGACGGCCAGTCTAAGTACAAACACCGCCGCCCGAGCCGCGGATCGGCCGCGGGCACTGTTGGCGCCGTACAGCACTGCTTATCACGGGTGCGGCGGCTGGGGGCGGCCGCCACCTCCGCTCGCGCGCCGCCCTCCGCGGCGCCGCGGCTCGGCCCAGCCGCCTGACCGACAGCGGGCCTCGCCCGGACCGCCGCGCAGGGACGGGCGCGGCCGGCGGCGGGCCGCGCCGCTTGAGCAGTCGGAACGGGAGGATGTCCGGAGGCTGACGAGCTGCACTCGACCTCAGCCGGCACTAGCTCGTCTTCAGGTGGATCTGCGGACGGGCCATGACGTCACAGACGGACCGGTCCGCTGGCGGGGTACGCGAGGCGTCCGCGCAGCGGAAGCGCTCGCTAACCGTGCCCTTGGGCTTTGATCACACGTGAGGCCGTCCTACTGATTCACGCATCCTCAAAGGGCTTCCGCTGTTTTCAGCAAAACACCCGCATTGATGACCGTAATCCTCACCATTCCCAACAACAGGCGCAGGCCGTGACGCCGCATCACAACCGCAGCACAGCACCACGTCAGCGCGTGCCGCGCCGCGCCCCGCCGCTCCGCCCCGCCCGCCCCGCCCCGCCCCGCCCCGCCCCTCACCTCGCTCAGGATGGCCCAGTTGTCGCTCTCGGCCTGCACGGCTAGCCGGGCGGACTTGGTCAGACCCCAGCCGGCCGCCAGCTCGCCCGCCGCCACGCCCTGGTCGTTGAAATGCCCTGCGGGGCGGGGGTGTCGGGTCAGCGGTCGGCAAGTGGGCGCCGGCAGGCCGGCGGGCCCCGGCGCCGCACGTCAAGGGCGTCAAAACACGAATCGGCGGCGCGCCGACAACAGCGCCCGCCGTTGCGGCGACACGGCCATACACATCCGACGGGCCGCGCTGCCAGCCCCACAACGACGGCCTGCGGAGGCGCCGAGCCCGGCACGCCACCGCGAGCGCGGCCGACGCGTCCGGTCTGGCGCCGTCACGTCCGCTAAGGCGGCCGCAGCGGCGACTGCACCCGGCCCAGGAGCCGACCTGTGTGGTGAGGCGCGCGAGGCGCCGCTCCCGGCCGCCGCCCGGCTGGGCCGTGGCGCTCACCGGTCCCGCAGGAGAGGCCTGCGCCGACCTCAACTGGCGGTCGGAGATTGGGCGTAGGAACGATGGGAGACTTACCCACTATCACATAGCCATCCGGCGTGGTTTTGTACTCTTTCAGAAGCTCCTCGGGTCGGAACTCGGGTATGATTTCGACGGTGGTGTTATAGAACCGGTCCGATGGATGCTCCAGATTTCCACTTTGGAAGTAGAAGCTGAAAAAGCACAACCAGACATTGGACAAGCACCCCTAACCAAAAGTGAACAGCGAATGGTTTGGGACAATACCGCAGTAAGTCGCAGCATCCGCCTACAATGTCCAACACGTTCGCGAGTTTAACCAGCGCGTGCGCGCAGCATAACCAAACACACGAGTTCGAGCGGACCCTGATACTGGGCGGCCGCAGCCGATTGGCCTCTGCCTCCTGTAGTCCACTCTCTGGTTCGGACCGCCATCGCAGCCCTTCAAGGCTTGGGCCCGCCGGCACTCTCGGCACTCTCGGCACTCTCACCCGGTCAGCCGGACCGGCGGCGTCAGATGGAACTCCAGGTGGTCCCCTGGCTGGGGCAGCAGGCCCCAGAAGTACGTCTCGCCCTTGTAGGCACGCTGCGAATCGAGCCTCACGTCAGCGACGCCCTTCACTGCTCGAAGCACATACTTCCGTTGTGCTAGTAGTTGACGTCACCTTTTAAGTAAAAGAGCCACCACTGCAAGCGTCAGATGCACGGCAGATACACCGTCAGGACGAATGCCAAATAAAACGGCTGCCATTCACTATTCCATATCAACCCCATACATGCCATTTCATGGATATGTGCCGCAGTGCACCCGGCGCCGGAAACGCATTCCGCAGCGAGGAAACGGACCGCCCTGACATTACCGTCCGTCCGGGACCTCGGACAGCCCCGGTCACCGGCTGTCTGACCATCGCCGACCCCCGCCGGAGCGAGGCGCCTACCTCCAGCGTATACTGCTTATGCGGCTTCATGTCGCACACGATGCGCGCCGGCGGGTTAACGTGCGTCACGAACATCTGCACCTTGCCGAACTGCTTGTCCTGCAGGCAGACGGAGCCGACGAGTCAGTGTCGGCTCCGGCCGCGGTCCGAGGTGCAGGCAGTCGCCGCTGGTGGCGGGGCAGCGTGGAGCAGTGGGACGGTGGCGAGCGGCGTCTGCAGCCGCGGCAGCTGAGGGCGGGCTGGGACCGGACTCAGGTACCTAGGGAGGGTCGGCACCTCTGCGATGAACGCGGAGAGCCGACCACGACAGACCAAGCCGCCACACACGCGCCGAGGATCAGCCCGGAAATCAGTCGAGTACGCGCTCCTGGACTGATGTTCACATACATCACTGACCCGTTAGGCAGCGAGGGTAGCACATTGGCGCGACGTGACGACTCTGACCGAATGCGGAGGGTCCGTGCTTCGCTGAGACCGCTCTTTACGCGCTGGTCATGCACAAACCCTGCCAGTGAAGCGTGGGCTCCAGAGCTCGCCAAGGTCCAGCCCGCCGGAATTTCGCCTCACATTACACCTCCCTGACATTTTGCGAACGGCATCGATTTTCCCACATCAGGCAGCGCCGGAACAAAAGGAAATAATTAAACAAAACTCTGGCGCGGTGGTATTGCACGCGGACACGTAGCGGCTGCCGGGCAGGACGCAGGAAACGACCGTCGGTGGCGTGCCGGAGCGAGGGGCGCTCACGGGGTGCACCGTGCCGGCGCGCGTGCGGCCGTTTCACCGCCACGCCAGCGGGCCGAGGCGGGGCGGGTGGCACGCGCCAAGGTCGGCTTTCCTCCCCTGTGCGTGCGTCGGGCCGGCTGGCGGCACCGGCAGGCACGCCAGGTGACCGGCGGTTGGTCTCCCAGCCGCAGGGCAGTGCCCCCTCCGGGAGCCGGAACTCGCTGAGAGGCAGCCCCGGCCTCCGGCAAAGTGCGCGGAGCTCGCCGCCGAACGCCGTGCCGACGCCAGAGGCCATTCGGCGCCGCGCGCCACGAGCCGGCCAACAGCGGCCGTCAAAAGTCCGCACGAGTCCGCCGGTGCGCGCGCCCTGCCGGGCTACGGCACGGCGGATTCCAGCGCCGGGCAGAGAGAGGCGCGTGCTTTAGGACGATGACTGGGTGCTGGCGGAGAGCGCAGGGTAAGCTGACCGTTCCGACCGACACGGCCGGCGGCGCGGGGCGGCTAATCGCGCAGCCGGTGGTGACCAGAGAGTACTGCTCAGCGTCGGTCTATGTCGGCAGGGGCGCGACTTGGCGAACACGAAAGGACTCGTCCGCGCAAATGCAGGTCAGATCGGGGTCACGGCACCAACAGAAGTAGATCAAACGCCAGGAAACATGAGTGGGAGGGGGGGGGGGGGGCTAACAGGTGCGGTACCGTGACACCGACCCCAGCTGACTTCGGTCGTCGCGCGGCGTACAGCGGCATACCACGCCGCATCGCCTGGATACAGATGGTGTTCAACAATGAAGTGATCGTTCAAATATGAGTAGTTGGGCGGAGCAGAAATGACCGTGGTCATACCCGGTAGTCCCGCATATCGTGACTGTGAGACCCATGAAACTGAGCGTAATGGGCGCTGCATGACCTACTGCAGTTGATGCGCCCAAAAGCCCCGAATCATCACCATCAGCTGGGGCTAACTGTCGTTTGCGGCGTGTCGCATGGTACCGTTTCCTATTCAGCTGGGGCTATTGCCCTCCGCCCTCGTCCCCCCGCCCCCTCCCCAGCTCCTCCCAACTTTGAGAAGAAAGGCAGGCGGAATCCGAGAGAAAATGCCGCATTTTGGGATACGTTTCGATATTTTTCCTGCTCAACCCCCATCCTATTCCCAAACTTATTTTGCGGAAGGGCACGTCTGGTCTAGTATGCGTTTTTCAACAAATGGTGCAAGGCTGTGTCCTAAAAGCCCTACCAAAATATGAGCGGACTAATCGCGAGAGCAGAGTAAAATTAAGCTCGGGACGGGATTCCGAACAAGAGTATGGATAAATACTCCACGCCTTTCCAAACGATATCTTTCCTGAATAGAAAATAATACAAAGCATGAAAACAATATAAAATCACGATACAGTTGCCATCCAACATCAGCGCACCAGACAGACGTCATTCCAAATGACGCCCGAGAGCAAACGTCAGTGTGGCGTATAGGATACACAACCGCACGCATTGCGTACGTGCACGGTCTTGCAACGTCATCACCACACAGCAGAGACGTGCCGGCAGCAAACGTGTACACTTGGAGGGTGCGGGTGACGCAGGCACAAGCGCGCCGGGTCTCGGCACGGGACAAGTCTGCCGGTCACGACGACACCCGCGCCGTGTACATCAGCAGAGGTCACCACACAGGCCGATGCCGGACGCCTCACTTCACGGTCACCGACCACTGCAAATCTCCTCGCGAGTGCCAACATGCTGGTGTCAGCAACGGTAGCCCTCTCTGGCCTGAGGGACCGCCGGGCACCGTCCGCGGCGGGGGCAGAGCACGTGCATGCTGGCAGCGTCAGTGCCGCTCGGCGGCCGGCCGAGTCCGTGCCGGCGCCGACTCTGCAGACCAGTCTGACGCACGCCGGCACGTGGGCACACACACGTCTAGTGTCGTCCTGAACCAAATGCGCAGGGGAGCGGCGGCGTCGCAGACCAGCTGCCGCAGCACATGCCCGGGACAGTCACCGTGGGGCGGGAGCGGTGCTTGGCGACCCAGCGCGGGTTCTCCGGCGACCACTGCTGGCGCTCTCCGCCGGCCCACGAGTCCTGGGTCACACAGAGCCAGTCAGCGCGCTGGACTCAGCGGCTCGGGTCGGGCGCGGCCGCCGCCGGCCGCCACCGGCGCGCCGCGAGGGGTCGCGAGCCGGCGCGGCTGCGGCGGAGCGGACTGCGCTGGTCCGCCGCAGGACCGCGGACGCTGCGCGCCTCGCCGGTACACACCGCGACAGGTCCCAGGACCGTTCGCGGCCGACCCGGCAGAAGAGGCGCCGCAGTGACCGCAGCAGTCACCGATCGTGCAGTGTGCACACACACGCGCACACCAGATCACTCACTGTATGACGCACGAAGAGCGCGCAGGCCGCTGCCAGTGCTACATCAAGCGAGCTGTTAGCGGGGCACAGGACAGCAGTTCAGGCGCGCAGCGCGGGTCAACCATAGCTGAAGCCAAGCGGCAGCGCGCAGCAGCCAACAGTCAGCTGGGGACGCTACCGACGGCCAGGATCGCGCTAAGCCTCGACGCTCGTCGTCCAGACACCGGCGAGCAATGCAGACTGTATGGACCGTGCGGTGTAGGTCACACGGGGTCTCAGCATACCATAACTTACTGAAACTCTGTCCCTAGTACATAATGGCAAGAAGCGTCGCATGTCCCAGTCCACTAACCGCCCACCATCCGCGGCCACCCGCGTCACGGCCGATGGTCGATGTCCAACGTTGAACAGGCCTGAGCGGAGGTTAGAAATCCTCCGGTCCAGCGGATAGCGACATCTGGCCGACTCCAATCACCGGCGCTACGCTGTCATAAAGCTGCAGTGCTCTATCGTTCCCATCCGGTGTCGGGCCCGCGCAAGCTAGCGGCGTCGGATAGGCAGCGGCGGCGGGTTGGTCCGCAGCGGGGGTGGGTTACAGTCTGCAGCGGCGGCGGGTTACAGTCGGCGGCGGCGGTGGGGGCGGTCTGCAGCGGCGGCGGGTCAGTCGGCAGTGGCGGCGGGTTAGTCGGCAGCGGCGGCAGGTTAGTCCGCAGCGGCGGTGGGTTACAGTCCGCAGGACGGCGGGTTAGCCCGCAGCGGCGGCGGGTTAGCCCGCAGCGGCGGCGGGTTAGCCCGCAGCGGCGACGGGTTAGCCTGCAGCGGCGGCGGGTTAGCCCGCAGCGGCGGCGAGTTAGTTTGCATTGACAGAGGCTAAGTCCTCAGCGGCGACGGGTTACAGTCTGCAGCGGCGGCGGGCACACGCGCGGCCTCCACCGCGTGCCGGCCGTGCCGCAGTGGCCCATCAGCCTAATGAGGAGCCGGCGCGGCTTGCCTCAGGCCCAGTGGGAAGCATCGCCTGTCACGCCAGGGCGGGGCCGAGCCGCGCAACACCACCACGCGACGGTGACGGGACGCCACTGGAGGGGCGCGGCGCCGCAGGCCGTGGCCATGTACGGCAGATCACGGAGCGGCCCGCCCAGCCGGCGCCTCATCCCGCGGCCTTTAGCGGCTCGCCACCGCTCACCTGCACGGCGACAGGGCGACGGCGCGGCTCTGTTGGCACGCCACGCCGACTGGTTCCGTCCCAGCCGGCCAGCTCATCACTCACACGCGACAGCCACTGTCTGCCCACAAGCCAGCTCACAGCGGGCGGGGCCAGGGGCTGGGCGGCGATGTGCCGGGGAGGGAGAAGGAGAGGGGCGAGCGGCCGTTGAGGCCGCCGGCCTGACCCTACAGGCGGCCGGTCGATTCCGCCCCCCAGTGCCGTGGCTGGGCGATTCCATTGAAGCACGACGGTGTTCCGGTCGCTAGTGCCGCGCTCGGAAGATTCACCGCTCCGATCGCGCCAGCGCCGGTCGTTTGCGGCCATTAAGTATGGATGGAGAACGCCAGGGATATTACACAATGGCGTTCCCTTTCCTTTTCATCGGGAACGACATGGTCAAATTCTGAGGCAAAGCCGTTTACCAGAACTAAAGTGCGAGATATTTTTCTACCGTGGGCTGTTTAAAAACCACAAACACGCTTTTAAGTGCGTAAGGTACAAAACCATATGGCGGAATCCCGCACACAAAACAGACTGCAGAATTTTGCAGGACTGTGGTCTTTTTTAGTCACGAACAGAGCGACTTGCACACTTACTTCCATGCTGCCGTTAGAGAGAAGTGACCACCTTGTTTGGCGTTATGAACGAGGCGTTTCAACCGCAATGGCAAGGTAAGGACGTGCTAAAAATCCGGGCCGAATCCCACGACGCTGTTGTCATTGGGACTTCACGACGCAACCAGTTGCTAAGGCTATATGGCATCGCCTGCCTGTCACCCTGGCAGAGAGGGCGGGCACCGTGGGTAATCGAATTCCGCACCTCTGGTTTTCCGGATGCGCAGCGGTTAACGCCGATACGTTAACCACTACACTAGCCCCCTCCCCCCTCCCCCCAACGTGCCATTTGGCTATGTTGGATGTCGTTCACAACTTCATTACTCTATGCTCACAGCACGAAGCACGAATGCAACTACCGAATTCTCCATCAACCCACGACAGCCCCTGTCCTGGCGCATTCAGACACCTGGATACCAGTTCCAATAGTCCTCATGAATGATTCGACGCAAAGTCCACTGCCCTGGACTGATGGGAGGCAGCACGCGTCAAGAGACAGGTTCATAAATCAGCAGCGTGAGCGAAAATTCATGACACGGCCAGATTTACGGGCAGCCAACTTTGCTAATTGACACGGGGGTGAAGCAGCTTGCGCCATGCAGGCGAAGTACAAGGAGCTATGTCGTTCATGCTCTCTGAAAGGTTTCAGGTTGAGCGAAATAAAGAACAGAGAAAGCACATGAAACTGGATCTATTTTGGTACTGTGATATTTCGGTACACTTCTACGTTACGGGCGTTATTAGTTTGCACGAGCAGGCCTACATGGCCACGCCTCCAGCTCCAGCAGCCGGGATGTTAGCTGTGCTCCTCGATGAACATCTCATCATGACAGTCACATCACCACCGTTGTTCGCCGATGTGACGCACACCTGCGCTGTTATCCGTAATTTAACACCACTTCACCATCGATGTTGTGAACCTACTGGTCCATACCTGCCGTTCCCCACTACATAGTTGTCTGCGCTACGCAGTGGTCTGCAGATAACCAGTTCGGAGTCTATTCAGTCCGACTTGAGGCGTTTCGTACCGAAAGAGAAAGGCGGCATTCACGTCCCCAATAGCATATTTATAAAAACGACAATCTTGCGATGGAGAACGCCTGTCAAATGGTGATGGAACGAGCATGGAGCAACGGCGCAGAACAGCATGGTCAACCACAACAGCAACATCAAGGTCGCACCACGTCGCTACCCCCCAGCGCCATCCTTTTCACGAATCGTACCTCACGACCGGATACCCGAAAAAGTATCCCTTCCGGAATCTATCTCTCAGTGGGGCCAATGCCATGACGTGAGGCATTCGTCTCCACCAAAGCTGGTCAGCTTCAGCGTCTCTTACCTTCAGCTTTTGCACCTTGCCCTTGAGGGAAGAGTGTGTACCGATGTGCTGGAACAGCGATGGCTTGAAGTGCAGCCACACTTTGTCCTTCTCCTCTTTACACTTCTTCTGGAAGACGGCGGGCACCACGTTACCGACAACTCCATCTGGTACGCGAGGACTTGGGATTATCTGCGAGTCTCCAGATGTCCATGAGACGGTATGCGGGCGCTAAGGCGAGGTCACCGAGACAGTCCTTGGGCTGCCGCTGTCAAATGTCTTTTACTGCGGCCAGGCGATAAAAAGGACCAAACACTACGGAAACCATGCAACATACGACAGGTAAATGTCTTTATGTCGGCTACCGTGTCCGGCACCGAATAACAGGAAGTGTAAACGAGCCATAGGTTTCGTGTTTAACTGAAAACCCGGAAATGTCGCCATCTTCTGTTCCGTTTCTACCAACGTCAATTCAGACCACACCAGAAACGGTCATAAATTATCCACACAACCATCCGCTACGAAAACAAGCAGGCGACGACTTATGGCCCTTTGGTCCGGCCCTTTATTCGACAAACAACGAAGTCGTGTGGCCCATGGCGAAGCGCCGCCCGCCCGGCGGTCGTCGAGCGGCAACACCGCGCTCTTGTCGAACCGGCACATCTTGGTCTGCACCACTCACTCACCGTGCTCTTGTCGAACCGGCACACCTTGGTCTGCACCGCTCACTCACCGTGCTCTTGTCGAATCGGCAAGCTTTGGTCTGCACCACTCGCTCACCGCGCTCTTGTCGAACCGGCACGCCTTGGTCTGCACCTCTCACTCACCACGCTCTTGTTGAACCGGCATACCTTGGTCTGTACCACTCACTCACCGCGCTCTTGTCGGACCGGCACACCTAGGTCTGCATCACTCACCGCGCTCTTGTCGAACCGGCACACCTTGGTCTGTACCAGGTTGATCAGAAGCCAGTCGGACGGCTTATCGTTGTTAAACATGACCAGAAAATGAATCAGGGGCAGCAGCTCCACGGTCTTGAAGAGCTTGCCTGCGGCAGCAGAGGTCACCGGCGTCAAGGAGCAGATCGCGTCGGGACACACACGATCCAGCTGCGTGCCGCGGTAAGGCGGAGGGGGTCGAGACGCAAAGACAAACGCGTGAGGAGGCCCAGGCTGAGTCGGAGACAAGGGCACACGGACTGTACAGAGTCGCGGTCGGCGCGGCCAGGGTCTCTTAAGCGGGTGGGAGAGCTCAGTCAGCACCCATCACAACCGAACGGAACGTGCCTCTTCAGGGCTCGGTAGAAAATGCGGGTCTGGAGGGTCCATTTCCCCTTCCTCTCCCTCCCAATGGCAGTGTTTCTGGCAGCCACAATACCCCGGCCGTTCTGTGTACAGAACACGCTGGATGCCGGTGATCCGACACCACCGTCCGATGCTGCGCAGAGCGTTGACGTCACGAGCGCGTGACATACGCGCCGCCCCGTCAATAATGAATGGCCGTCAGCTGAGGGGTAGGACCCGTGTGCCGAGCACGTGTGAAAACGCTCACGTATACGCACGCTCTGGCAAGCGCCAGCACGCAGGTGGGTACACAGCCGCTTGATCGGCGCTTTTCATGCGCAGGTCAACGTCAGGTCTGGTCCGCGCGGCGACACTAACACTCGTGGAATACGAGCTCCCGTCCCGCCGGCGGTGCGCTGCCGAGTACGGCAACACATTCCGCGTTGCCTACGGCCATGGCGCTGACGCACGGGGCTGGACCCACAACACATTACCCTCTGTCGTATCGCAGCCTCATATTGCAGGGCAACCGATACACAAAACCCTACCCCAGCGGCAGGCCGATAACACACACAAACCATGACGCTAACACTGGCCCGAGGGTGCGGCCCGCGCGCGGCGGGAGTGGCAGCCCAGCCGACGATGTGAATGGCAGCCGCGGCCGGCGCGACACCGACACGGCCCCGGCCGAGCTGGGCCGGCCCGGCTGGAATTACAACCCGGTGCGCGCAGGGCGCTGGCGCGAGCGCGGCGCGGCCCCGTCCGCCCCCACCGCACAGGTTGGACGGCCGCGCGCCACACGTGCCGCGACCGGGACATGGGGCGTGGAACGACAACTGTGCGTGGCTGATCGCCACTGCTTACGGAATGAACATCGTAATGGTCCGGGACCGGGGATCAGACCAAATGGCACAACGACGTGGCTAACGCAACACAAAGTGCTTGGTTAAGAGACTTCAATCGTGGTAATCTATATTTTCGCGTTGCCCACGCATAGCTAGAACTGATGGGAAATGAATCATCTTACCGATAAAGCCCAGTTGGCAGAAGTCTAGGAGAAACCAGTTCTTTTTCTCCGTTATTTTTTGAAGAGCGAATTCCTTCATCCGCGTGACGTAACTGAAAAACAAGAATGCGTTACCACTCGTTACATCTCATGCAGCTTACTTCCCATATTCTCATCGCCAGGCGCATTACTTCCCTGTCAATTTCTCAGGACGAGAACCCATGGCCACAAATAATTCACTGGCACGTCGCCTGGTCAATCGCATGCCGCATCCTTTTACGACACATGGTACAAGCACGCGACGCCGTACCGGGGGCCACCGATCAGGTGGCTTCCCCCCTCCCCCCACAGTGACGCGGACAGACGGCGGGCCAGCGCAGCACCGACAGTCTGCCGACGGCGCTCACCCGGGCTTGGTCATGATGTCGTCCTCCAACTGAACGTAGAAGAGGCCGCGCGGCCGACAGTACATCATGAGGAAGGCGAAGTCGAGATTCTGCTTGGTGCGCCACTGCACGCGCTCCAGCGGGTCGTCGAGAGTGCGTCGCACCGTCTCCCGCGGAGGGTAGTAGTCGGCCGACGGCGAGATGATGTCCACCAGGCCCGAGTCCACCTCCACCGGGAACCTGCCGGCAGAGCGATGTCAGGTCATCGCCGCGTGCCATGTCGAGCGCACGGCGCGCCATGTCGTGTCATGGCACGGCACGTCATGTCAGGCGCATGGCAGGTCGTGTTACGGCATGGCGCATCGACGCGTCGCGCGGACATCACGCCACACGGCGCCTCGCATCACGCCATGTGCTCAGCGCGCCATGTCACGCCATGTTGTCACGCTGGCGGCTCACGCTTAGAGCCATGCATGGCGTGCCAGGCCTTCGCTGGCGCTGGGTGTACGGCGAAGGCTCACGATTTCGCGGCGGAGGGAGATTACATAACTAGAATTGGATGACGAAGGGTGGAAGTAATGCTTCACAATTGGGGTGATTGCGCGGGGCCCCGCGTTACCGTTTTCGACAGGGCTGAATAATGAAGATCATCGGGCGAGGGACAGGAAATTAGAAATGCTACGATAAAACGAATCAAAGTTTCGGCCGCAAAGCACCATGCGAGATGTTTTAAAGCTAAACGTACGATTTTAATCACAAACCTAGGCACCAGATAGGTAGAGGAAGCCTCTCAACTTTTCACATACTTAAAGCCTACCAACGAATAAGGACAACTGGATCAGCTCAAGCGATTCAGCAATAATCCACTGACCCGTCACCCCGCATCTCATCCCATAGCGCTGCATATACTCGTTACGTATACCACGTCACACTGCGTACGGATCACCAAGACCACTCGGCCCAGCGTCTGTTACTTCGTAGCCCCTAGGAGCAGCCGCGCAATATCACGCGATATTTCGCGAGAGGATGACAAATGGGAGACTCTTTGTTTTGTTGTAATCTGCTTGAATTCGTTCACATTCACTCACTGCGCTTGTAATGTTGGTGCAAAGGGAAGCATTTCATATATGCCATGCTCTCAGATTTGTGATTCGAATTGTACACTTCACTTATAATCACTGCTAATGATGGCTTTTGATCGAAACATGCGCTCGATGTAAAGCTGCCAATATCCAGCATGGATCCAGCCCTCGTGTAGTGAAGGTCTATATTGTCACTGTCTTGTATTTACCAATTTCCAATATATTTATAATTGCTTAAAGCATAGCAATGGTCAAATTATGTACTACGTCGACTGCTCACTGTTTGCCCTAGAGATCACGTTTAGTTTCTTGTCATTTACAGCCAACACTTCGTGGGTTCACAGTTTCCCGTCGACATCAAGCATATGGTATGGGCATCTAAAAACAATTCCACGATCGACGAACTCTGTCGACAAATTTAGCCACAGGTCAAAGATACACATCAAACACTGAGGACCCTACTTCAGCCGCAATCAGATCAATCAGTTCGAATCACTACAAGCAAACAGCTGGAGCACATTACGCCCGTCCGTCTCCGCCTGAGGATCAGCGGTCGGTCCCGTACTCGACCTGCTCGTGGTCGCGTCCGTGCCGCGAGCCCACCGCCCGCGGGCACCGGGCGGGACACTCCCGCCGACTCGCGCCGGGCCAAGCAGGTGGGCGCCACGGCGGGCGCCACGCACCCGCGATCGTTACAGCCGGCGCCGGAGCCCAAGCTCGCCAGCCGGCCGCACCCGGTCGGCGAGCGAGGTCGGAGAAGCACTGGTGGGACGTGAGTGACGGAGCGTGAGGGACGGGGTGTGATGGACGAGCCTCGGGCGGAGTCGGCCGAGCCGGAGCCAAACCTGCCCCCTCCCCTCCCCGGCTGGGGGTAACGATCGGACCGGCCGCCCGTTGGAGCTTCCTCCAATTAACCTGGCTCAATCAACAACACACAGCTGTAAGTCCCCGCTGATCCTAATTTGGCGGATCTGGGCCCGCCAAATTGGGTTCAGCCATTCAATATTATTACTGATAGGAGCGTCTATTAACCCTTACCACCTGGCAATTTATTGTACTGCAAGCAAACAATACCTATCTTGCCCGGTGAGAACGTGCGTGGTTCATGCAGAGTTCTTGCCGAGGCATTTGACCCTGCCATGACGCATTACCTAACTTAAACGTAGTGACTAATGTCGTGCTAGCATATCGCCTGATGCTACTGGTGCGATAGTTGCGTTAATTCTTCTATCATACTAGATTTTCCGGCTGTACGATCCTTTCCATCCGTGTATGTCGCAGCTGTCTTCAGCCGCAGGTCATCGCTCATCAGATTTGCAACAGAGGGCCTGTAAATGACCTAAGCTTCTCGAACCGAGCCCCATGACCTTTCGAAGATGTCGTCACTTCCACACAACAGAGCAGTGCACAATAAGTCACTTAATTATACGCGTCGAAGAACTATCTAACGACAGAGTCTGATTTTGTTTGGCGCCGCCTTTAATTTGTCTTTTATGGACATGGTGCAATGGTGCGGCACGGCGATATGACCCACGAACGCGGTGCAATGGTACGGCACGGCTATACGACTAAAAAAAAGTTCGAAAAGCACCACAGAATGCAGGTCATGATTCGTGGTCACGATTCGTGGTCATGTTTCGGTCATGATCGCGGCTGTGTGACCTAATGTCATGTCGCCGTTCAGAATTACTCAGTAGCGGTCAGCCCGCAGGAGTTATTAGGTGGGGGGGGGGGGGGGGTCAATCAGCAATCGACGCTTTCCTATTTGTTGACATAATTGATCGTTACAGAACCATGCCAACTGTACCATACTAATGGACCTGACTCCAATATGTTCGCATTGCTGCAATTCAGGCTTACAATAAACCTGCAAACATCAATGCTACTTACACACAGAATGCATTCATTCTAAAACATGTCGTTAGGGGTGTATTCGCGACGATCCGGACGACAAAGATTATACGTGACGTGAAGGCGAATCTTTGCCGGATGCGCAGAATTTTTTTTCGCAACCCAATCGGAGTGAAACAGATAAGACGCAACATATTCAATTGTTACGAGGCCAATTTGCATGCCCAGGACCGCAACGAGTGATGAAAATGAGTTGTATACGTCACGAAGAACGTAATTTGTCGTTTCCATTCTTAGGAGCACTTACAGTATCTGCAAACGAAAATACTGTCTGCGTGCGCAATTACTGTCACGACAGTTTCGAAGATGTAACCAACGAGTCGCGCTGCAAACACCCTCGGCAAAGATAATACGTGTTGTCACGTGGAATAGAATATTCTTGGTGTCCTGCGAATACACCCTAAATATACAAAGCGATACTGACATTGTGCACTACATCAGCGTGGGCCACCATCACAGTGCACTGCTACTCCGTGACACAGCATGCGATGTCCAGCGCCCGGTGGAGCGTGAAGCCAAGCCTGCAACCAGCGTGGGGCACCATCACAGTGCACTGCTACTCCGTGGCACAGCATGCGATGTCCAGCGCCCGGTGGAGCGTGAAGCCAAGCCTGCAACCAGCGTGGGGCACCATCACAGTGCACTGCTACTCCGTGGCACAGCATGCGATGTCCAGCGCCCGGTGGAGCGTGAAGCCAAGTCTGCAGCCGGCTGCACAATTCCTGAGCGGTGGGCTAGCTTTACAACAGCAAGACGTAACCCCTGGTACTTTTCACTCTGTCACGCCTGTGGGTGCAGGCAAGTACCGTCAGCTGCCATTTATTCCTTTGATCCGTTAACAGTTAACGACCAGACGGCACGTACAAATAAAAGAAGACCGGCGGGTCGCGCTTGCAGAGCATGCGTTGCATGCGCTTGCATGCGTAAAATATACTTGCGTACAAAAATTATGCCTAGCGCTGTATAGTGGCTCCCAAACTGCTCTGCGCGGCGACAGAGGCGCCGATCACGTGACAGGCCGTTCAACGCGATTGACTGCGCATGATGACGTTAAATAAATCGGAGCAATTTTACGAGCCGGAAAATGTACGACGATCAAAACGTTGCCAGGTTTACGTTTGCTGCGCTCGCCCCAGACCGTAACGCTGTGGTCACAAGCATGACCCTCAAGCCGTACCAGTGCAGAGCTTGGGCCTCATCAATTTGGGAAGGTCTTCTTTACCTTACAGCGAAACCAGGAACACCAATAGCACCAATAATTTCCAAATGAGCCTGATGGAACAGCTCGCAAGATTATCGCGTGCGGAAGGGAAATATCTCATGAATAATGACATTCCGCAACCCCTACGAGCGCAGCAAAAATTCGCTCTAGGGCCTTGAGCAAAGACAGTGCCCGTGCAGCCAAACAATTCCCATGTAGCCCGAGTGGGCTAATCCATTACAACAGCCTTGATGATGCCCCTTTCAAACTGAGCACACAACACCTGAGACAGGACTGATAAGCAGTTAATGCACTTTAGGCTCAATGTGCAGTCGGCTTGACAACCCATGTCACGCAGCAGGTAACTGAAGCCCAGACTTTGTTCAATTAGACCGGAACGGGAAAACGAAACGCCAGATGAGCACGAGGGCAATCAGGTACCCCTCACAACCTTGAGGTCGTGTGTGGTGTGCATCAGGTTTTCTCATCGCGGAAGATTGAGATCCAGTGAAATAACTAGCGTGTACCAAGTGGTTCTGCACCACTCATTTTCATTGCGGGACACCGCGGTGCCGGACTTAAATATGTATTCCACAGCCAGCCTCACGAGCTATTGCCCAAGTGGTGGAAATGAGGCATTCATAAAGCCAGCATTGGGAATGGCACGCAAGGCCACAAATGGCGGCTTCTACCACCGCATCCTAGTAGTTAAGAAATTAGACCAGTAAGAGTCCCGTCGGCAACTGGAGAGCCGCACAGCTGGACGAAAAAACGGCTCCTCGGCCAACATGCCAGTTGCAAGCGGACCAGGCGCATGTAAGCGTGGCAGGGGCACGGAACCGGACCAGTCCAGAAAATCCGCGCACGTATGTCTTGTTATTGTTTGAGCACGCGAGCGAAGGTCCGCCGAGAGCCAACCGGCCTGTGCGCACGGGCACGGAAGGATGCCCTCTGCAGCCTGCACCCTTCACTCTCAGCCTGGGTGCATCGTCCTCTACAGCCTGCACCCTTCACTCTCAGCCTGGGTACACTGCCCTCTGCAGCCC